AAGATTAAAGACTAGAGTCTGCAGTATGGATTACATCTCAGCATAAAGAAAATGAAAATCCTCACAACCACACCAATAAGCTTCATCATGATAAATGGAGAAAAGATTGAAGTTGTGAAAGACTTTATATTACTTGGTTCCACAATCAACACCAATGGAAGCAGCAGTCAGGACATCAGAAGATGTATTGCACTGGGCAAATGTGCTGCAAAAGACCTCTTTCAAGTGCTAAAGAGAAAAGATGCCTCTTTGAAGAATAAGGTGCACCTAACCTAAGCCATGGTATTTTCAGTCACCTCATGTGCATGTGAGAGCTGGACAATGAATATCGAAGAAAGAAAAAGAGTTGATTCTTTTGAGTTGTGGTGTTGGTGAAGAATATTTAAGGTACCATGGACTGCCAGAACTAACAAATCTGTCCCAGAAGAAATGCAGCCGAAATGCTCCTTGGAAGCAGGAATGGCCAGCCTTCGTCTTGCCTATGTTTGTCATGTTGTCAGAAGGAACCATTCCCTGGAGAAGAGTATCATGCTTGGTAAAGTAGAAGGTCAGCAAAAAAGGGGAAGGCCTCCAATGAAATGTATTGACACAGTGGCTGCAATGATATAGCAGGCATAGAAAGGATTGTGAGGCTGTAACAGGATTGAGCAGTGTTTCCTTCTGTTGTACATACGGCCACTGTGAGTTGGAGCTTACTCAATGGCACCTAAGAACAACAACAAGTGTGTGTGAAGGAGTCTTGGTGGTATAATGGTTAAAGTATTCTGCTGCTAACCAAAATGGTGGTTCAAACCCACCAAACACTCCAGGGGAGATAGATGAGGCAGTCAGTCTGCTTACCTAAAGATTTACAGCCTTGGAAATTTATGGGGCAGTTCTACACCATCCCATAGGGTCACTGTGACTCATAATTCACTCGATGGCAATGGGTTTGATTTTTAGTTAAGTGTATGTAAATGAGAGGTGAAAGAATAAAATAGGAAACCCCACAATAGTGCTGGATTTATACCATCTAGGAAGGTTGGACTATCTACTTCCATAGTGATACCGCTTCAGAAACCCAAGGAGGGGTCTCTATGAGTCAGATCTGACTCAATGGCAGTGAGTTTTATTTTAAGGAGAGTTTACTATTGCCAAGTTGTGGTGGAGGATGTTTTGAGTAACATTATTGAATAGCATGAAATCAAATGATTTTAAAATATTTCATAGCAATCTAGATTGATCACACTGTTAGAGATAGGTCTGATGATCTTTCTTTAGTGAATACCTATTGTGCAAATAAGATGGGGCAATCTGCTTCCGTAAAGATTTACAGCCTCAGAAATCAGTGGGGGTCACTATGAGTCAGACTTGCCTCTGTAGCAATGAGTATTGTGCAATACTCACTCCATTTTGTGCAGAGCAGACTACCAAACAATACACTGATGATCTTAGAGGACAGAGTTAAGAAATGGGAAGAATACAATATAGGTCATTATGTGGGTCAGACTCTGGGACAATAAGCATACTTATTGATACATACATCAATTTATTAATTTGACATGAATAAAATGAATTTCTTAAAATAAATTCACTCAACTCCATCTTGAGAGAAGATTGGTTTGCATGGAAATTAGTGTTTACTAGTTGTCAAGTGACTAATTCAGCCTGATGAGTAGGAAAGCACAGAGTGGGGTAGACCAATCCCTTCAATGCTAAGGACCATTTTTCTAAGATTATTGACTCAGCTTCTCCTCTAACACATGTAAAAGTTTACATTAAAAACTCTCAGATTGTGTTTATTTCTTTTTAGAAATACTATATAAACAAATACTTGTTTTCTTCAGTTTTACCTGATTACAATAATAATAATTCTTGTTTTATTTTTATTATTATGTTCTCTAAGGATAAAATTTAAAAAGCAGTTGAACAATAATTAAAGTACTTCGGAGCTGATGGAATTTTAGGACCCCTCAAAGTCCTCATTTTAGAGATGAAGAAAGGGGCATCGCAATTGAAGAAGAGACTTACAATTAGGTGCAAATAAAGTCCCTCAACTCTTGGCACAACACTATATCGCATCTTCCCAAAACAAAAAGTCAGACTCACTACTATCTAGACAATTCCGACTCATAGTGACCCCCCATTTGGTTTCCAAGGCTGTAAATCTTTGCAGAAGCAAGCTGCCTCATCTTTCCTCCACAGAGCAGGTGGTGGGTTCCAACAACTCACCTCATGGGTTAAGGGACAAATGCCTTAACCACTGTACCACCAGAGCTCCTTTTACATCCTTCTGGACACCAAATTAATAATATTATCTTTTTTATAATATTAAATACACCCAAGCTGCAAGAAAAAAATAATTTCCTAAGAAACACAGAACTTTTGCTATTTTCTTTCATTAGTGTGTTCAGTCTAAATTGTTTTAGAAGTACTGGCAGTAGAAACCAATAGTATAATATTAAGTTTCCAAAGATGTAAGGAGCAACATATAAATGGATCCTAGAATAGTAATAGATATAGTACAGTATAATAGAAATATTTATTTTGATTATTTATTATAATATGTAATTATCATCTTTATACAGCAGTTACTATCACTCATTAAAACCAAACTCACTGCCATCAAGTCAGTCTTAACTCATAACAACCCCTCCTCGGGTTTCTGAGGCGGTATCACTGCGGAAGTAGATTGCCCAATCTCCCTTCTGAGGAGTGGCTGGTGGGTTTGAACCACCAGCCTTCTGGTTAGCAGTCAAATGCCTTAGACACTAGGCCACCAGAACTCCTATCACTCATTGAGCATCCCTTATATGCTAGGTACTATACTAACCTCTTAAATATATATAGTTTTGTTTTGTTTTGTTTTGTTTTGACTTCATCCTTAAAGCTACTGTGTGAGATGATAACATAGAGCTAAATAGTTGAGAAACTATACAATCACTCAGTCAGTAAGACCTGCCATAGGCAATACAAGCTCATCATGTTCCAAACAAAATTTATCATATTCCCCTCTCCACGTCACTTCTCACAAACTACACGTCAAGTTTTGTTTCTCTTTTCAGTGGTGGGGGTGATGCTCCCACTACCTACATGCTCCCACTACTACTCGGTGGTTTAAGTTCTACAGCAGAAGATAAGTCAATACACTTGATCTTTTTCACTTCTTTTTTCCATCTGTCATCCCTCCTCATGCCCTGAATCTACCTTCCTCAATATACTTTCTCAAAACATGGACACTGCTGGGATAATTACACTGGCTCTGCTCTCCCTACCTCCAATCTCACACCTTCCCTGATCTGCCCCCATTGCTCAGTGTCATTCTCTTTTGAACATGCAAATTTGATTGCATCATCTAGTCCTTGAAAGAATTCAAATAACTACCTATTGTGTAAAAATCTGAAATGCCATAATTAACCCACAAGCTTGATCTGACCTTTGTCTAATTCTAAGTTCTTCCCTCTCATTCTTATGCCTATCACCACTTTCATACAGCCTAAATTCCAGTTTGGGTTTGTTTTTTTTTTAAGTTTCCTTAACCTATCATGTCCTTTCTTATATTCATGCCTTTGCAGATTCTCTGCTTTGTGCTTTAAATGTTACAAAATGTTCTCTTTAACTCTGAAATACAGTGTATGTATCCTTCCAGGCTCATCTCCAACATTACTACTTCCTTTACACTTCCTAGCACCCTTGATTTGTATGCTTCTTTATTCTTGACCTAGCACATCGTACATACTTCTGTCACATTATTCATCACACTTCACCAATTTATTCAACAAATATGCATTGAGGGCCTATGGCATGCCATGCACTTGGTATACTATTATGAGCAATGATGAATAGTTCTGAATTGGTATGTATTGGCTTGTCTAAGTCCTATCATTGGGCTGTACATGCCCTGAATCGAGAAGCCATGACTTTCACCTCTGAATCATATTCATAGAACAGAGACATAGAGGAGACGCTGAAAATAAATGTGCACAAGATGGGTTAAAACTGAATGACCAGTTCAGCACCCTCAGGCCACTAAGCTAATAAAAGTCTGCAGGAATCCCCTACAAAAGTACTCAATTAGTGACAGAAATCACACATCCTATTTGAAACAAATGGAATATTTGCCCACAGTATTTTTGTCACATCTTTTTTTGTTTGTTTGTTTGTTTTGTCTCTCGTGTCTTATAGGATTTACCGGGTTTCCAGAAAGAAAAAAAATAATAACTGTAATTAGTGTTGTAGCTTTCAAAAATTGCCCTTTCTCAAGAAAAGATTGAGAGTCCCATCTCTAAATGTCTTACCTGTTTCCATAAGTGTCACTGCTGACTCAGTGATAGCTATCATCATGCTGGAGATGGGACGGTCACAAGTCATGACTGAGTAAATTGTGCAGTTGTTCCCATCTACAAACATTTACGGTTCCTCTTCTTAGAATTGGTCATTATACACAAATTTATAACTTTATCCATAGAATATACAAATCACAGTGCCTAAGGCATGTGACTGCTAACCAGATGGTTAGTGGTTCAAATCCACCAGCCACTCCATGGAAGGAAGACTGGACAATGTATTAATTTTTAGATTTTGCATTAATGTATATATGATAATTCAGCATGTTTGAACTAATTCTCCTTTTAAAATATACATTTAAATATAGTGTCTGTTTAGTAAAATATTTTAAAATTGAATTTTTAATGTGAAATGCATGATATGCATATTATGCAAATGCTTCATGAACCATCCTCAAATTTTACTGATGTCTTCATGTCATTATTGGAATTCCAATAATGAAATAGGAGACTCAAACTAAATGTTAATGATAACTAAATAAATGTAAGCTATATTTCTTTGTAATATAATTTCATTAGCAGATTTTAGATCTTATGAGAATATTTGTCTTTCTAAACACTTCCAGCAAATTTACTGATGGTATTCATATTAAACTTTAAATATCCTAGTCCAAGATTCCTATTTCTCTGTCCTTCAAAGAGAGTAATACACATCTTCTTTTTTTGTTTTAACAGTGTATATGGTTGCCCCTTGGCTAAAAAAAGAAAAACACAAGATAAGCAGCCACAAGAACCAGCTCCTAAACGAAAACCATTTGCAGTTAAAGCGGACAGCTCCTCAGTAGATGAATGTTATGAAAGTGATGGCACTGAAGATATGGATGACAAGGAGGAAGACGAGGAGGAAGAGTACTCTGAGGACAATGAGGAGCAAGGAGATGAGGATGAAGAAGATGAGGAGGTAGACCGAGAGGAAGAGGAGGAGATTGAAGAAGATGATGATGATGATGATGATGATGGAGATGATGTGGAGGATGAAGAAGATGAAGAGGAAGAGGAGGAGGAGGAAGAGGAGGAAGAAGAAGAAAATGGTAATCTTTAAAATATTAGCAAAATATAAAATGGTGGTCTGTGTCAGTTTTTCCACATGAATTGTCTGATGTTAGTATTCATGACACATTAGTGATTGTCACATAAATAGTACTGAAAAAAATTAGCCGTATGTGTCTTTAACCTTTGTTTTAAAGGGTTCCTTCAAATTATCTCTTAGACTTTAGATTTTATTTCAGTCAAGTTGGTGTTCAAATTAGTTGTCATAATAATTTGTTGGAATATTTATGCTGTGCATATTTGATGAGCTTAGCCAAAATTATTTAAAAAGTCAAATTAACATGCCTAGAGTTTAATTTTACATTTTTTTTAATGTTCTATCCAAGAGATACTATTAGACAAAATAGTGTTATTGCAATGGCTTTAATCACATGCTCTATTAGAGGAGTGTGGAAGCTCTATGTAGCTACTGGTATATTAACTGGTAACATAGATTTTTGTCTGTCAATTGCCAAAGATTTACTTCAGTGGCTGTCATGTAATGAGGATGAAAAAGCCTACAACTGAAATAATGAACAGACCTCTCCATTTGTTTGCATATTTGAGATCCACGTTTCTTATTTGAGGTCTCCAATATTGTGAATGAGATATACAAGTAAAACAATGTGAAGCACACAGTAGACAGGATGTTTTAGGCAACAAGTTTAATATAATTTTGCATTGATCTCCAGTTTTCTGTCAGACTCAAACAAATGACTTCAAAACAAGTCCTTTCATAAAAGTCATTTCTTTCTCAAAAGAAGTGAGAGTTTTCTGAGGAGCTTAGTTGTAGTCTTATTTCATTGGTTTACAATTCGCCTCGTAGAAATTCTAAATTTCTTTCAAAGTTAAGAGAATGTTTTTTCCTTACACTTCTCCCTTGGGCTCAAAATTTCTTTAGGAAACTGATTTCTAGGAGAGTTCGTTTCTAAATACAAAAGACAATAGTTTTAGCCAGTGGAGAAAACTCTTTTGATCTGGTAGCTGTGAGTAGCTTGTTGTTAACCCCACGGGGCCAGCATGAATGAATCATTCCTCCTTCAGAAGTCATAATACTTTTGAACCATAAAACCTGAGTTTTATGAAATAATGTTAGATTTTTATTGTGGCTTAAGGTTCTGAGGAAAATAGTTTACCACTTTCATATACAAGCATATACATATATATACAAACATTTCTATATGTACCTGTATACACACACACATATATATATATATACACAAACACAAGATTTTTTTATTCTCTTGATAATATAAAGTGTGGTGTGGAGACAACATAATCAAATGTATCAGAAGACATACAAATAAAGTTATTATTAATTCTGTTAAGTCTACTTTGATCATAATGCTTCAGTTTCATAAATTAGATATGAGGCGTTTCATGCTAAGAATTAAAGCACTCTACATAAAAAATAAAAATATGTGGGAAGTTGAAGCATATAAAAATTTGGCAAATTATTTCTGGATATTGTATTAAATCTGTGCAGTTTGGGGAAACTTCACAAATTGTTAAAGCTGATTAATGATATGCAACTTGACCATGGCTTATTACAAATGAGATATTAAACATTACTCTTTCATATTGTTTTGTTTGAAAAGCAGTAGGCATTAATGTTTGAAATTATGGTAGTTTGTATGTGTGATGGAGTAGAAGATTTTTAAGATTTATCATTTAATTAAGAACCTCAACTAAATATTAAGTTCTGCTCTCTATTTGTTAAAATTAAACTTTCGATTTTAGTTTATTTAGGTCATCTTTTAAATGATCTATCTTTAAAGGTACAAAGCAACATATCATGAAAAGTTCACCAAAAATCCTATGAAATAGCTTCAGAAAATGACTATGGGGCTTGTGTAGGGTTTATTTTGATGTGACCACTTAGAATGTACTTCTTTTGAAAAGTCATGTAACAAAACTAAAGATGTTTTTGCTAGGAAGAGCTCAAGAAAGTGGGCTTAACAAATGGGTACATGATAGTACCATCAGCAAATAATTGAATAATTCTAATGTATGTCCCAGTATTTCTAATTTTATGACCATACTTAGCATAGTTACTAGCACTTAGATATTCCATAATCATTGTCTGAATCTGACTCTGAAGCATTCTAAGTAAATAGGTTCCAGAAAGCTAACACCAATGAAGAAGAAGCAGACAAAAGACAATGATAAATAATCAAATGTTTGTGTACATGGTCTTAGAATGTATATTCAGTATCCTACTACCTGACTAAACACTTTTTATAATCATCTACTACATGAACTTTAAAGGAATTTTCTGGAGCTACTAAACATAGATTCAGCCCTGATGAAAAACTTAAGAGATTATTAGGCTATCTGCTATCATTATAGGGCAAATTGATCCTGAACATCCTTGGCAGTAAACTTTAGTGTTGTACTTCTTTTCAGATACCATCTCTTGCAAATCCTAAATCCCACGTATTCATTGAGAATAGAACACAATAGACCAATTAGGGAGGTCCTTTCACTGTGATTTTAATTGCTGCAAGTTCTCTGGAGGGAAACGCCAACAGCTTGCTTGATTTTTAGGGCAAATGAAAGTCCATCTCCTAAAAAAAAATTCACTTAGGAGACCTGGTTCCTGGAAACTGTTTCACAAAGCTTTTCTGTTATAGAGAGAAGTGTCTGTTGGAGGAGCTCCAGGAATAGGTGTTCCAAGACACCATTTAGCCAATATCACATGAAGATATTCCAGGTGGATTATACTCCAGGTATTTCATAACCACTCAGCATCAGGAATTTTCAGGAAGATCCTAGATCAAAGGAACCATATAGCTTTGTTGATTGAACAGTCATGTGAACAGTTATGATCAAACTCCTAGTTATGTTTAATTTCTTAAAATAAGGCTTCAAAAGGCATATCCCTGTCAACCTATTTTCATATCCTCCCTTCCTGAACACATTACATTTCACTTTACTGCTCAATATGGTGCCAAAATATTATCAACAAATACAATTTTCTCTTATGATAGCAACTTCTTTAACTTCAGAAACACAATATGAGTATAGGATATTTTATATAGCACCAAAGAGAGATACTGTTTTGCCTTCGCCCTTGAATGGAGTTGGCAGTAATTGTACATTTCTGAAAAATTGGATGATGTATCTTTATGTTTGATCATCACAGTACTGGACCACCATCTTGAAATAGGTCTTTCATTCTCCTTGTTTTACACTGACTGGGACCATTATGTCTCTGGTCTATCAGCAGATTTCTTCTAAGGTTGAAGCACCTTTTTTTGGCAAGTAGAAGCACAAACATTGATGTAAAGTTCAGAGAAAAGTCATGGTTTCAGGAAACAGTGAGAAGAAAACATACCTACATGAGGCCAAACACTTGGTTTCATATCCATGGAAAGTATGTAATAGATGACTATAGTCTAATATGAAAAAGTCAAGGCATCATGATGGAACCATAAGGATAAAAATTAAGCTGACATCAACCATACAAGAAGAAATAAAGTTTAAGACTATATAATTTTATATTAGTATTTGCTCACCAAGTATAGTATTTTCCACCTGTATTATAAAATGCAATGTGGAGTTTATTGAGAGGTTTTTATTTTTAGCTAAAACAAAGTTATACAACTCACCAGATTAACACAATAGGAGTCCACTGACTATAGAAAGACCTTTATTGTAACTTGGAGATTTAGGATTTATTTCAATTCCAAGGGTCCTCCAAGACTGTGATTATATATAAACCAAGGTAGTGCTAATAAGGCCTTCTCCGATGATATATTCACATTATTGTGTTTGCTTACAGTAGGCATGTAAGATAGTTCGGGTAGAAATTATTTTATGTTCATTGTGCTAGTTAGTAACTGAAGCTCAGAAAGATAGCATTCTTTTCAGTAAGTGGTGGAAATATGATCAAACTCTGGTGTTGATTTTTTTCTTACTATGTAACTCATGTTTCTTTTTGTTAGAACTTTTTGCTTATTTGAAGAACAAGGAAGAACTTTTGAGTAATTAATTTTAGATTATATAAATTCATGATTACTTAAATATATTTATGGCATAGTTGATCTTTTATATGAAGAAATTTATTTTCAAACTATATTATAAAGGCCTAAATATTCATATTTTTTAAGTACCCTTATGATCCTAAAGTTAAGAAAGTTAATATTCACTGTTCATACGTTTTTCTATCAGCATATATTGTACATGTTATAAATACATATTTGAAATCCTATGATTTAATAAATATAGAATAAATTGTTATAGAATGCTTAGTAATTTAGTATTTATTTTCATTTTTAAGCCCTTAAAATATATAAATATTTAAATAAAACATACTCATCCATAAATATATATATATATATATATATATATATATATATATATATGCATATACATGTTTATTTCTGTATCTATCGATTTGACCAACATATCGTGGCTCCCTACAAACAGTAATAAAAATTCCATAAGGAAAAGAGGGTAGCTATTTGCCACACAGACTAAAGAAAACTTTCATATGTACTTCCATTCTTAACAGCTAACTGTTTCTGGGAATATTCTGTTTTTGAAATGCATTTGTAATGGATAAAATTTTTTCTTTACTACTCTTTCTTGAATCTCAGGACTGTCTTGGATAATTGGACTCTGAAGGACAATTCCCTTTATCATTAGGTTAAATTAGATGAAGTGTAGATGTCTTCCTTTTTAAAAGGTTTTCTAGCTTTTCTTTAGCATCTTTTGCTCTATATTAATTAGCCAAAGTTGAGTGGTGGGATCCGTGGAAGTTTACACCTAAGAAGGAGTTTGGCAGTTTGAGGGAACATGATAATAGTTATGATGAGAACCTTTTCAAATATATGATCACTCTAAGTGAGACATTTATGCCGACCAGAAGCAGAACAAAAAATGTGTGTGTGGAATCAAAAACAGAGAGGGTACCTCTGTCAATTAGTGAAATGTGACTCTTCTATATCATTTATTAAAATAGTTGTGGATGTGCTAGTGATCAGCCCCTATTAAGTGG